GGGTTTTCACCCCAAGGGGCCCCCGCCCGCCCCCCCCGGCCGATAGCTGCGGCAAGCATCGCCGCTCAGCCCAGCGCCGCGCAACGCCAGCACCGACAGCTGGCGAACGAAGGGTCCTGAGCCGTAAAACGCTGCCTCGCCGCCGGTGACGAGAACAAACGCTGGAACGTCAGCCAGTGACCTTTGCCTGGTGATTGCGGGCTGTGCCGGGGAACCTTCGACCCTTCCTGCAGAGCAGAAGGCGCTCACCGCCCCTCGCCGTTAGCTTGTGGATGGGGCCGGTATTCCCCCACGGCCCTTCGATTTCACAGAACAGAATCATGGAATCGCTTAGGTTGCAAATCTTGAGATCATCAAGTCCAACCGTAAACCCAACGTTGCCAAGTCCACCGCTACACCCTGTCCCCCAGCGCCACGGCCACCCGCCTGTTAAACACCCCCAGGGATGGGGATGCGACCACTGCCCTGGGCAGCCTGTCCCGGTGCTTGACAGCCCCTTCAGTGAAGGAATTTTTCCCAATATCCAAGTTTGACAAAAGCTGGCTGCCTGCACGGGGGCCCGTAGGTCCAGGAGGCCGGGCCTTACAGGGCAGAAGATTCCAGTTATGGCACCGTTGCCGAGGGAATGTGGCTTTACCATTCATCTCCATTTCTTTCATGCTCTGGGTAACCATACCGATTGACCAACGCCAGCAGCGCTTGGCAGCATCCCTGGTTCTTCCCAGCCCGGGGTGGTGCAGGAGCTGATTTTGGCCCTTGCGATGCAGAACCTGTATTTTGCAGCCATCGCACGCTGGCTGCCAAGATGCCATCGGTGTTAGGGCAGGCTCACCCGCTGCAGCGGGAGTCACCCAGCGCTGGTTTGCCCTGCCCTGGCCAGGGATTTTCCGTGGTGACTGACACAGCCCGGCGAAGGCTGGGAACCCCGGCAGTTCCTCTCGCAGCGGGTGGTGCGGGGAGCTCGGCCAGCGTTGGGCTGGCTCTGCTCCACATCTCCTGCTCTCCCTCCAAAGGCGAGAAACATTCGAGTTCACCCATCGCCAAGGAAACGCTGCCCTTGCTGCTCCTTCCTCCGACAGCTCCTTGCGGCTGGGGCGAACCCTCACTGACTTTTTAAGTCAAACAAAACCAACCATTGACCCCGCGGTACCCAGCGCTGCTTCAGGAGGCCAGGGCAGCAGCATCTGCCAGCTGAGCGTGACTCCCTTCCTCTGGATTTAACCCCTCGGGAAGTCTCTCTGGTCTCAAAAATACAAATAAAGCAATGCATTGCTTAAAATTGGAGGCCCTTACTTTGAGTCCGTCATGCTCTTTCAGTTTACCACGGGAACTTGGGTTGGCAAAGTGTCGCACGATGCCATTCCGTGTGTTTATGTGCCCGTGTGTCCCGATCAGCTGCATGAGGGAGGCACACGGGTTAAAAAAGAAAGACAAAAAAGGATCCTGCTCGCTTTGCTGTTGGCTGTAAACTCCCTCCCTTGCTCCCAGTGCATGTGAGCGACCCTACGGCTGCGGGATCCTCCCTGTTGTAACCCTTCCGAAGGGCTCTAAGCTTGGCGCCAGCAGTAAAACCCCCTCCAGTGCCGAGCGCCCTGGGATGGTTTGGGTTGTGTGGGTGCTAACAACCAGCCAGCGAGCACCCCAACAGCCACCCGCCCCCCGTGCCGCCACTGCCGGGCTACAGGCGTCGGGACAGAAACCTCCAGGTTGCTTCAAAAGGTGAAATCACCGAGGCTTGCAGACTCAGGGAAGGGTGGAAGAGCCCGACGATAACGAAATCCAAAGCATAACGGTTAGAAGCAAAGACTTGCGCGTGCCAGGCGGCGACAGCCGGCGTGCTTCCGAAGGAGAAGGAGCTCTGTGTGCTGCTCAGGGGCGGCGATCGCTGGGCTGGGCTGCCCTCAAGAGGAGTTCTTAGCAATCTCCCCACCGGCAGCGACAGCCGGTAGCTGCGGGGCGGTTTTCAAGTCTTGCGATGGTAGGAAGGCGCTGCAATGATTTCTGTATTTTCTGTAGCGGAGGAGACAGACGGCGCGCTTCCCGGCGAGCCCCGGCGCCCTCTTCTGCCCACCGTTACGGCCCGTGGAAAGCGAACGCCAAAAGGACTTTGCTTACACAGCAAAGCAAAGCAAAGAGCTGCCTCACCCTCCAGCACCCTGGCCCTTCCGGATCACCGTAAGCTGGATGGTGACTCTACCTCCCATGCAGCCGCGTTTCTCAAACCGGCCCTGCAGCGCCTTGCGCGTCGTCCTGTCGCCCAGCGGGAGCGGCGTGAAATAGCGTAAAACCTGTGAGCGCCAAAGCCGAGGGCAGCCCGCCCGTCAGGAAGCCTCCATAGGGGGGGCTCGATGCTCTTGTATGTGCCTGTTGTAACGCCCGGGGGTGACCACAAACCTTTCGGTCACCTTTTAAATCCTTGTGTGGCTTCTAAGGGGGCAACACACACAGGCAGCTCAGCGCTACAGTCTTGGGTAGACCCCGTTGGCCAAGCATCCGCAGCCCCCGCGCCTCTCCCGTCCTCAGGCGTGGTGTAGCTCCCGGGTGCCATGGATGCGTTGGGGTTCATAGGTTACCCACTATAATCTCTCCGCGCTTAGTTCTTAGGGAGAGGTATAGGGCAAAAGCGGTGGAAGAACAAATTAGAGCTCAGCGGAGTCGAGGGAGAGAAGCCAAAGTGATGTTGGTGGCATCAATCTATGCCACAACCGTTCTTTGAGTGTTGGGAATGAAGAAATGTTCGCTCTGCTTGGGTTTTTCTTTTCTGATGCTGAAAAATTTGACCAACAACATGCGACAGAGGCTGCGTGGGCTTCTCACCATTGCCCCCAGTGCCAGACCCGGTGCTCCTGGTGGTAACGACAAGTTGAAGCTACACCGAGAAGCAGCGGCATCAGGCTGAGCTCCGGCGGTGCCGAGGCTTGAAGCACCTCGCTGGTGTTGCGCCCCGCTCGAGATCTCAACGTCAGCCTTGGTGCTCCTGGCTTCCCCCTCCAGGAGCAGCCCGAGGGCCGCAGCTGCTGAAAGGTTTGGGCAGCAAAGCGCTCGCGATGGGCTCACGATGAACTAGAGGTGAGGGGCGCAGAAGGTTTGTGCCACCTCCGTCGGCTCTCCGTGGCTGTCAGTCCTGCCGTCACCGCAGACAGGCAGCGGGCTCAGGGCTGTCTCCAGCGCTGCTAGCAGCGGCGTCCCCCCTGCTTGCCTGCATTCCCCCCTCGCATGTTACACATCTCCAGGCTTCACATCGCCCCTACTGCACAACTGTGCCTCTCCCTTTCCCCTTCCATTGGACCATGCTCCTCTTTGGTCCCCAAGGAGTCCAGCGTACATGACGCTCGCAGGGAAGTTCTCCCCAGGATGGCCCATGCGAGCCGTGTCCGTCCATGCCCCATACACCAGGGCTCCGACACTTCACACTCCCCCACCATGACAAAAATGCCGATTTGTAGCCCAGGCTTCAGGTTGGCAGAATGGCTTGAGCGCCCTTTTGTCCGGCTGAAGGTATGGAGATCACCTGCTTCTTCCTGGATTCAAAATTCTTGACGAACGTTTGCAACAACTCCTCCCACTGCCCCCTTCCCGGTGCTCCCCCACAGTGGGCATGCAAAGCGATCCTCCACCAAGTCATGGCCAACAGTTACTGGGACACTTAGTTCTCGTTAGCGCATTACTGTTAACGGACTCAAGCTGTTACAGCTAACGGGCGATAACCAGCCAATCCCACCCCACGGGAACAGCGAAACCAACTCCGGCTGCTGGCAGAGGAGCAGAGAGCCAGGCTGGCATGCCAGAGGCTTCCAGGGAGGAATCCGGAGGGTCCCACGGAGGGCCTGCCCCTGCAGCAGGTATAACCCCATGGTCTGTCCACACAGAGCAGCCGTCGCCTCCTCGGAGCTGGCGTTGGTCACACAGTGACGCTCGAGTGCGCTGGTGACCTCAGCAGCCTTCAGCAGAGCCATGGCGCCCCGACTTTATCCGCCCCTGCAGACCCAACAGCACCGCTCGTCTCTGGAGCTTATCAGGTCCCGGGAGGCTTTCACCAGCTATCTCTCAGCGCACACTTCTCTCCTCAGCCCGCTCTTCTCCGGGAGCTGCTTCTCCCCCCATCCCGACCGTACCCATCCACAGGGAAGGGCACTTTGCAAAGAGCTCGACCCTGCGCAGTGCGGCTGAGGAGGCGCAGTTCCGTCGGGCAGGAAGCGTCCATGGGGCGGATGCGGCTGAGGCTGCGGTGGGACGCCTCCTCCCGCCCGGGCTAGGGGCACGGGAAGGCTCGCGCGTTCGTTAATTGTCCTCTTGATGCTACGAGGCGTAGCCAAAGCCACGACACTGTCACAGCAGTGAGGCACACGAGCCGAGCCGCCGGCAGAGACACCGGCATTCCCAGCAGAGACACCGGCATTCCCGGTGTGCACCTCCATGCGGCATCTGGCAAACCAGCCCGGCATTGCCCGAGGAACAGGGCTGCCGAAGAGCAAGTCCCGATGCGCGGGGCTGTGGCTGGGCCCTGCCTGCCTCGGTGGTGGCTTCTCTTGAACCCTCCGCATGCCCACAGCCAGCTGCCTTAGCTCAGCTTGGTACGGGGCCGTTTCTTTCCGAGAGGTCCCTGGAGCTGTTTCCCTGGGCTAGGGTGACCACTCCATCCACGGCAGGGGGAATCGGAGCATCCTTAGGAGATCCCAAGGCAGAGCCAACAGATCCCAACACAGCCCAACGAGTCCACCCTGCATCCACAGCTCCATAAAACCTGCTGCCACCTCGGCAACGTCCAGAGCTGGGCTGGAACACCAAGGCTGCAACACTCAGAGCCAAATCACAAGGCTTGGGGAAGGAGGGGTGGGCTGTGATGGAGCCATTCCTGTGAGGCCACAGGGGAATCACAGAATCCCAGGTCAGAAGGGACCTCCAGGATCATCTGGTCCAACCTTTCTGAGCAAGAGCACAGCCTAGACAAAACAGCCCAGCACCCTGTCCAGCTGAGGCTTGAAAGTGTCCAATGTGGTGGAGACAACCCCTCCCTGGGGAGATTATTCCGATGGGTGACTGTTATCATGGTGAAAAATTCCCCTCTAATTTCCCTAAGGCTGCTTCCACACTGTGCTGGGGTATTTTCCCACCCAGCCACCAAGGACCAAGCCCAACACGCTGCCTTCATCCCTCTCCTCCTCTTCCCTGCACCTCTCACGGGCCCCATGGGAAACCTTTGGGGCCACATTTCTGCAATGGGGGCAAAGCCGCAGCTCCCCAGGGTCAGTGCCATGAGCACGGGGCTGCCCCATGGTGGGGAAGGAGGCAGCCACGGGGCCCTGGAGCCCGATTCCCCATTCCGCCTCTCATCTGTGCACCGACTCTGGATGCGAATGTGGGAAAACCCACGTGAAGCAAACCATGATGGAGCTTTGGTACTTCTTTAAATATCCCCATCCCTCCATGTCCTCCCTGAGCCACAGCTCTGCCAAATGCTCCAGCCCAGATTTCTTTTCAAAAGCACTCCTTTATTTCTCAGCCACTTTTGGGAGGGGAAGTGGTGTCTACCCCTTCGTGTCTACCCAACGCGCCGGCATCAACAGAAACATTTTAAACCGCAACAAGAAAAAACCCAGAAGCTACGCCCAGACGTCAGTGTGCGGCCGCTGTGACGAGGAGCTCTCAGCAAGGGGCTGGGAACTTCTCCGGAGAGAGGCTGAGTCTGGGGGAGTTTCAGAGTCACACGTGAAGCGTCACAGTTAAATCCATCGTGGGACAGAGATAGAATCATAGAATCACAGAATGTTTTGGGTGGGAAGGGACCCCCAGAGGTCACCCAGCCCAACCCCCCTGCAGGAGCAGGGACACCTTGAACCACATCAGGTTGCTCACAGCCCCCTCCAACCTGGCCTG